TTATAAATAAAAAAAAAAAAAAGAACTTTGTCCCCCATTATTCACCTAAATATCAAGATACCAACACTTTTAAATACTGTAACAAGTAAAAACACATGGCCACTGGCACCTGACACAAACTTGGCTCGGAACCTGCACGAATCGGACCCGGTCAGACAACAGGTCTGGTTCCGTGCCAAGATTCAAACCGAGCCAGTTCAGGGTCATATGTATGAAACATAGGACCCACGGATAGGTTAGGTCGGATCAAGAAACTCACGGATAGGTTAGGTCGGATCAAGAAATCAACGGTATTTTTTTTTTAATTTTTTTAGAATGGATCCCACATCCGAGTCGGGTCCGGCCCGCCACGTACCTAGGTAGGAGTTGGTTCAGAGTCGGCGATTTTGAGCTCGGCCCGATTTGGCTACTTACCCGTGCGATGCAGATACAATTTACTGCATTCTTTTAAAAGTTAAATTCAGCTTGGTCATGTTTATCGTGAAGCCAACTTCGTAGCGGATTATCTGGCGTCGCTGGCGACTAAGGATATGGGGGGTTTGCATAGGTTGGAGAGTCCTCCGGTGGGCTCGAGTGTTTGTCTCCAACATGATTTGGCGGGAGTGTTTTATCCCCGTGCGGTTTTAAACTAGGCTAGCGTTTAGCCTCCTTCTCTTGTCCCGAAAAAAAGAAAATTAAATCAAATACAATTTTTCTAATTAAAAATAATGACAATAAAAGAAGACAGACAGATAAAAAATCAAATATCATTAATCATCTTATTATATACATATTTTTTATTTGATTTTTTTGGCAAGTTTGTCTTCCCTACAAATTAATAACTTTAACCCCTTTCGGTTAGTGATACAAGTTACAATGACATACAACTGACCACGACTGAGCATTAATTTTTTAAAAAATAAACCTATATATGATAAAGATTGATCTTGACTTTCGTTTATAGTCATGAAGTTAGAAATTATAAGGAGAAATTACTTTCACTAGAGCATAAGAAGTATTCTAAAGTCGAAATGAGTCAGTGTCTTCCGAGATATCACTATTTTCGCACCTGCATACTCGCCTAAGTATCTTACTAGTACGCCATCCTTGTACTACACAGGTACATGGAAAATAATTTAAACAAAAAAAATAAAAGAGTTTTAGTTATTGTAAGTATATACAAATAAACTGAGTGTTGATTACAACAGAACTGAATATTGCATTTCAATTCTTAAACTTAAATTAAAAAAAACAGAAGAACAATAATAAAATGTAGATACGAGAAGAGAATCAACCGAGATGAGGGTTGTTCTTCCCGCAAGACGAATACGCCCAGTAGTGTGCTAACGGATTCAAGCATTCCATCCACAAAGATACAACGACTACGTCTCAGAAGCTGCAACACTTCAGACTTCTGAACTCCAACAAACTTGAATGGAGTTGAGAACTAAACAATATGTAGAAGTGTGAGACTATGAGTAAATGTATGGAGGTTGATGATCAGTGTGTCTCTTCTACATCTCTAACAAGTCCTATTTATAGGACTTCCAAGCTATAGGGGATGACCTCTGGTCTATAGCCAATTAAGACAAGTAACAATCCACTGAATGTCGTTGCAAATTGGCAAAAACAGTCAGGTGTTAAGCGTGTTGTTTTCAAGTGTTAACATACACCACTACTCCACCTGAAACAGTCAAGTAGAGTCAACACTGCAATGTCCATACACATTGTAATCTGAGAAGTCCACACATGTTGGGTAAAAACCCGACTCTAAAACTCAACTCAGTTTGGTTTATTTTGGGCTACAATTTTGAAAATAAATTTGCAACCGAATATTATAGGGGTTGGGCCCAAGGCCTACGTCCAACACCGACCCAACCGTCCAATTCCCAAGTACTGAGGCCATGACTAGGTCTAAGGCTCATGTCCAGGCCAAGACCCGTGCCCGAGCCGAGCCGGCGGGTGGGCACGCACGCGTGCGTCTATGACATAAGACATCACCAACATTTGGTGCATAATTTTGTCTTGACAACTCCAACTCTATTTATAGTTAATCTCATTTAACAGTCCAATGTGAGAAAGAACTCTTGACCATTTGAATCCATAACCAACGGTTTACGTGTCTATTAATGACTACCTTTAATAATTTATTTGTTACTCACCAAAAATTAATTTTGAAAAAGTAAATATACCACGAGTATCTATTCGGAAAAATAGAACTTTTCTATATAATTTAATTCAACTCGAATTAAATATTTAGCCACCAAAAAATGAGTCAAAACCGGGCCAAACACAAGTTTTTCATCCTGATTTTCTAACAAAAAGTTCGAATGAGTATTCAATTTATTTTTCATCAAGAACATAGGATTAATTTTCGAGTCAATAAACCAAACAACGTATTGCTATTTCTAGGCATAACTGAGGATGGTGTGCCTTCAAATGAAAGGTGGTAAAGGAAGTGGATCAATCAAGCAAGACAAGACTTGTTTTCGCGTCTCTCGATCCTGAACCCCACACCCGTCTCCGTCTTGATAGATGAAATAAGCGACTCGTGCTATGTTGAGTACATATCTAATCGCGGGTTGTTGTGATTGAGGACAATTGACGAACAACCCATTCATTTTCTTCCATGACTCGATTATCAAGTTTCTGACGTGCTCCCGAGCTTGTGATTCCGTAACGTTTGCTTCTCGCACGTGACATTGGATTGACGAAGGCGCGTCTCCTCTCTCTAGCTCTGCCTACAAAATCGTTACATAGTTTTATATCTTTACGATGCATGATTGCAATTTTAGGCACGGCGAAGTTGGCCTAGTAAAAATTAACGAGTCGATGGAAAACATACATTAATAAAACGATTTTTTTGTTTTATTGAAAATGTATGATGATCTATAACCTTAGTTGTGCCCTGATCGTTACAGAGTCGAAAAATGAGTGAGGCATAATGGATGATTTCTTGATTGTTGTTTAAGGTAGCCATAGTTTGTGTTATATTGTGACCAACACCAAGGAGAATATGGACCGAGAGAAGAGGGCCAGAGGAGGATTTCCACCCATTATCCAAATACTCCTCAAGAGAAGGAGAATAGCCCTTGTGATACCACTTTGCTTCCACAAACAATGCTTTGCAAAAACCAGTCCACTGTCATAAATCGAAAAAAAAAAA